ATTTCGCCCCAAGACTTCCCATAAGTATATAGTCCCCCTGAGGTAGATAGAATATGACTTTTGGCATAGTATAATAGATCCCCATATACCCCATATTCTATCTACTTAAGGGGGACTATATCCCAGGAGGAGACTCGAGTCGTTATCAACCTTCCGGTTCCCTACGGCTCGAATGATCGCATGTGGCATGACTGGGGCAATGGTGGCTCAAGCCTCTTCAGCAAGTCTTCTCGAATCTTTTTCATTCTGAAGGGCCAACCTTGTCCGAAGGGGTTTATTAGGATAACAGATTATACAAAGTTTTTGGAGTTGGAAAAGCTTCATTGTCCTGGGGTAATATTGGGATAAGATAGGGTAAGATAGGGCTGTGTAGGGAGAATGGAAAAGAAAATGGAAGCACCCAATATGCTGCCCATTCCAGCACACAGCTATACATCTTCTATGAGAGGCGACCATTTTTGTCGTGGTTTTTCAGTGGGGTTTAGGTAGCGGTCTACATGGGGTTCTGTGTGCCGCACCTGCTCAAAGCCAAGCTGTGGCCATCCCGGCCAGTCGCTGGGTTGCTTTTTGGAATTCTGCTTTTGCCATGCACTTTGTCCTTGCTTCTCATGCATCAGGTTACTCGGGTAGTTTTTTTTTTCTGTTTTCTTTTACATAATTTTCTGAGTGACACAGGCAATATCAGCACATTTTGTGGGAATGGCTGGACGCGTGTGGGAGACCGATGCTTCATTTACCAGGGTGACCCTCGCAACTATAATGGATCAGTCACAGAACCTGTTTTTTGCAAGCTTTTTTCTTGTTTTGGGCCCTAAACCTTCAGCCTTAACCCTAAACCCTTATCTTAACCCCTAAGCCCCAAACCCCTAAAAGCCAGTTGATGAATAACTTCAATGCTGGGCACCAAGAGCAGTCAAGGTCCAGTTCTGCGAAGCGCTGGTTTCTGTGATAGCAAGTCTTCACAGCGACTTGGCATTGAAACGCGCTGGTCCGTGTGGTAGCTTCCCAAAACAGGGGGACCCCAACATTGACTTCCAAATACTGTAAGGTTTTTTTTTGGGACCCCCAAAATGGTAACCCTGCTCCATTTTCCTTTCTTTACTCCAAACACACCGCACCCAGCAAGCTCAAGACGCCCTTCGCCCCAAACGCAAAGTCTGGCGTCAAGGCGAGGAAGAAAACCGGATAGCAACCGCATTGGTTCCAACTACGGTTCCTCGGCCAGGTCTTGAAGTTTGTTCCTCTGCCTAGTAGCTTAACTTAAGTCCCTTAAACCCCTATATTTCCCCAGTTTCCATTTAATTTTCTATTTTCTTTTCCATATGATTTTCCATTATAGGGGGAGAAGATAGCTTTTCCGGCTTCAGGGTTTAGGGTTTCATTGGTTTTGGGAGCTTGCACTGGGAGGTTATTGTAGGCTTGGAGGGGATTGGGGCTTCCAATAGGAAGACACGCAAAGAAAAGCAAGTCAGAACCTGCCTTTTTCCGTCGAATGATAAAACAACAGCTGTGGGTTTGTACTTGGGGTCTGGTATTGGGTAGCATGGCCATGAGGAGACATGGTGCAGCATGATCTATCCATGAACCTGTTCTTGGGTAAACTGCTAGATGAAGCTGTTTGGAGTTTCAGGGCACGCGTTCTCCAAGAACAGCTAAGGCTCCTGGTCGCAAGACTGCGTACATTGGCGCAGAGTACGTCGATGGCACCTGGATCATGTTAAGAGGGGATTGTATAGGGGATAATACAGGGGACTACTAGGAGTGTAGGCTTTTGCTCATGGAATACTAGTTCGAACTCTTTAGTATCTTCATTCTTTGATTTGATTCTGGTCAAAGGCCTCAATGTGGTGGGGTAGTGGTTGCGGTGGCGGTTGTTTAAACAGCGGTTCATGTGCTTAGATCAGACCCTGCCATCATTGTTGAGTTTTGAGAGCTTAGGGGTTTGGAGTTTAGAGTTCTGCTCTGGGATTGCAGTACCAGTATTAGTGCGTATGGCTCCTGAGCAATAATGTTCTGGCGGGCATTAAGACCTAAAGCCACAATCTTGAGCCCCATGCCCTTACCCTGAACTCTACTCAACACTAAATCCTGAAGCTTGCATGACCTAGGCGTGTGGAGCTGGCACGATGGAACTCCATGGTGGCAGCCGGCGATTACTGGAGATATTGGCGGGGGTGACGAATCTTGCATCATTTTAAGGTTGGAAGGACCCAAACCCTAAACCCTAACATGGGCCCTTAGCCCTTTTGATGCGACTCTAGGGGCCGACAAGGGTCACAGGTAAAGTATATATATTAGGCATATGGGGATTCCCGAAAGGAGTACCCTTTTTTGGGGTCCTTATAATGGGCATTATAGAATTTTCGGGCCTATATCGGGGTCCTATTTAGGGACCTTGCCCACTAAGGATCCCTGCATTAGGGGCTTTAGGGTTTAGGGTTTAGTGGTTTTAGGGGTACTGGGGGCCCATGGTTTTGAGCTTAGAAGTATCGCTCCTGGCAGTATTGTAGGATAGGGTTCAGGCTGTACTGTTCAGCGTTTATGGTTCGGGATTTAGCGTTCAAAGGGTAAAGGACTGGAAGTTGCAGGAAGCTACGGATTAGAATCCCACTAGAATGGAACATACATTCAACTACTGATTGGGGTTAGGGCTTAGGGTTTGGGTTTAGCCGTGTTGGAGGAATAGCCGGATAGCTCTCAACTAATCCAGTGGGGGAGGGCTGAAAACAAAAAAACAACTAAGGATCAATAAGCAAACGGAGATCAGTCAAAAACAAGCAGGGATCAACACAAAGCAAAGCGTGCCTTTAACGATATGGGGGATTGTCAAAATTATGGTCCCTTTTTGGGTCCCTATTGTAATACGGGGCCTAATACGGGGCCTAATTTAGGGGACCCAAAAAGGGAGACAATTTTGACAATCCCGCATACACAATGCATCGCTCGCAGCTCCTAGACGCTGAAGACAGGGCATAAAAACGAGTGGGCGCTGGAAATTTTGTAGCTTACAGCAGTAGGTACTGGCAAAAGTCGAAAGTCTGCGAATTGCGCCCGGGTAGTTCTTGGTAAACTTGACATGCTACTCACAAAGGAGGGAAGAGAGCAAAGAAAGAAACAAATAAAGATTAGAAGAGCGGAAATCGAAAGCACACAGGCAGAAAGAAGGAAAGAGAGGAAGATGGAGAGACGGGAATAAAGAAAGAGGAACGTAATAAGAAGGAACAAAAGAGGAATAGCGGGAAGGAGGATAGAAAGAGAGGAAACATACTGAGATGGCGCCTGGCTTACTGGCTGTGAGTAGGAATGGAGCAGGGGATTCTTGTCAGTATATGTTAGAATCATTGCCAAGTCAGAAACGTAGGAAGCAAGTACACGCTCCGATCTTCGTCCAGGTTTGGCAAATGGGGGCGGAGCTGCGCCCTCAGCCCCCTCCTGCTGTTTGTTACAAGACAAATGCACGCAAGCATCTCAAAAGAAATCCATGAAATGTAAGCTTATCCGGTTGCTTAATATGCCTGAAAGGTACAGATATTTTCGTTAGTTTTTAAAGGATTTTCAAAGAACAAGGAAAGAAGAAGGGACCAAAAACCCTGAAAGAAAAGACTACCGGAAGAAAGCAAGAAAGCAAGGAGGAAAGGAATGAAGAAAGACGGAAAGAACGAAACAAACAAGGAAGCACAAAAAAAGAAGAGTGGAAAGATGGAAGGAAGAAAGAAACACACAACCTGCTCCTGTTTGTAATGCTTCTTGTCGTTCCCAGGTCAAAAATGTGTGAAGGAAGTATATGTTCTGATCTTCATCCAGGTTTTGCCATGGTGGGGCCTGAGCCCCCCAACCCCAACCCGCCCGCTGTTTCTTTTACAAACAAATGCATGCAAACATCTCGAGAGCAATCCGTGACATGTATTGTTATCCGGTCCTTTCATGTCGTTCATTGGTACAGCTATCAGCTATTGTCATCAACTCGTGTTTGTTGTTCTTAACAGCAGTATTGATACCTATATGCGGAACACCGAGTATTGCATTCAAGTCCCGAATAAAGCTAAATCAATATGAAAACATGGCTTTTGCAATAAGAAATCAATATCGAACTTATTAAATTTCAGAGTGCAAATCATGATGGAAGTCAATATAAACATTCAACAGCAACCCTTCAGGCCTTCAGGTTTCGTCATGTTCATCCTTGCTGATCACGTTTTGCTGTAGCCAGCTTCCATGATACTTTAGGATTTTCTATCGTTTT